CTGCCACGTGCCGTGTGCCAGCCTGGTCACGCTCTGCGTCCTGCCACATACCATGTGCCAGCCTGGTCCCGGTCTGCGTCCTGCCACGTACAGCATACCGGCCGATTCATCCCCCTCGTGCCCACTTGCAGGATCTGTGGGCAAGTGCCACCCTTTCCCTTTGTTTAAATATTGGAGAGGGGGAAACTGTTACCATTGTTACAGCACTTTTTTTGTGTCACAGGACAAAATAAACCCTTCCAGTGGGGCTTGTTCGAGTGGGGGGACGGGGGGAGGATGGGGCCTGAACACAGCCAGCCACACTCCAGCCCTCCAGCCTGGCACAGGTCAGAGAACTGCCCCCAATAACCCCGGAGCCGACCTGGGAGAAACCCAGCCAACCCTGATCTAAACCCTGCGCTGATGGAGAAGGCCCCAGGCCCCTCAGGAAATTCTTCCAGTGATTAATGACTCTCGCCAGGACAAACATCTACGCTACACAATCAAGGCAACCCAGCGTCGGCACACGGCCGCTGTGGGAATGATATCGCTGTGCGTGTCTACACTTGGGTTCCCGTGTCGCCGGTGTGTGTCCGCACCACGAGCGCCTGCACCGATTGTACCGCCAGCGTGGAGCACTGTGGGCTGGCCCCTGAAAGCCAGCAACAGGCCACGTGAGCAACGCAGCGTCTGCACTGACACCGTGTCAACCTACCTACACCAGGATGGATGCTCCGCCGCTCAGGGAGGGGGTGTTATGAAGTCGGGGGAGCAGGTAGGTGACATCAGGGGGAGTGAAATTTTAGCGTTGGGGCGACATCAGCTGCCTTACTGCGTCCGCGGTGGAGACCAGGGCCACGCCTTGTTTCCAGTCTGACTGTATCTAGCGTCACCTCCCAGGCACTGGATCTGGTCAGACCCTCCTCTGCTAGGCTGATGAGCCGATCGTTAGATACTTGATCGCCACGTAGGTACCTAGAGATGGGGATCAGTCCTGCCAAAGCCTGTTACAATCTCCATCCGTTGCCGTCTGCGTCTAGACATCGCAGGTCAGAGCTCTCCGCTCCCGCAGCCTTCACCACAGCGCCGAGGCCTGGGGAGGAGAGGAGACTCGCTGGGTCCCACGTGGCCGGATCGGGCCGAGGCAAAGGTCAGCCTCGCGGGGCCAGGCCAGGCAGTTACTCCCAGCCCCTGTGGTTGGGATTTTCCTGCTGTTAGTCACCCAGAGTTTGAATGCAGGGAAACGTTTGTCAAATAATTTCAGAACAGGAAATGCCCTCCCCCCCACCCCCCTGCCAAAGGTGCTTGTATCTCAGAGAGGACAAATGGGAGGCA